TTACATCCTCTTTATGGCTTTATTAAAATGCTGGCTGTGCTTCAATTAAAGAAGTGGCTTTTTCTGCGACTGTAAGCACATTTCATCAGAATAAATGTCATTTGTTAGGCAAAAATGGAGGGAGGCTCCTGATTGCAGCTGCTCTGTTGAAGTCCAGCTGTTTCTGGGGTAGACTGCCGAGAGGATGTTCCCGCCTCTCCCACCATCCACTTCTCCGGGGATGGGGCTGTGGCCTTGGTCACTGGCCTCCAGGACCCTGGCAGCCCTCCTGCCCTGTTAGGGGTGATGCTGAGAGCGCCCTCCTCCTGGAAAACCCTCTGCCCCTCCTTCCACGTGACTGGGCATCCCTCCGACTCTGCAGGGGCCTTTCGTGCATTGGTGCCTCCTTCCAGGGCTCTTGGACCACCACTGCCCTCGTCCCCAGGCGGGCAGAAGGAGAGGGGAGAGGGCAGCAGCACCCTGGTCTCCCCCCAGGGCAAGGGAGACCTCGCTGTTCCTCCTGGCCCCTCGTCCTGGCTTCGGCAGTCCTGGCTTCTCCCCCTCTGCCTGGCGTCTCTCTTCTCTATGGGAGGAACTGGATTGGGGAGTGCGAAAATAGGGGGGAAACGCAGTGGGGGGAAACGCAGCTGGAGAAGCTTCTCCGGCCTGCCCTCTTGGCCCGCCCTGCCCCAGAGGGCGTGGATCCCAGCCCCCTTCCTGGGAGGGCTGGGCTGCACTCAGGGACGGGCAGTTCCAAGGGTTTTAAGGGATGTTTGTGGGAGTGGGAGGAGGAGGAGGAGGAGGAGGAGGGGCGCTGCATCTGCAGAGCCCCCCCCCCCCCCTGTTTGCTGGCAGGAGTCCTGCTGGGCTGCAAGGCTGCCTTGGTCAGGCCCAGCAAGGCTCCTCTGTCAGCTGGCGCTTTGTCCTGCCTCTTCTTCCTCCTTTTGAAGGCAGGTTTGGATGGGGGGGGTCTCCTGTGATGAGGGTCATCCGGAGCTGTGCCCCGTCCCCCCCCAGGCTTGAGAAGGCTGAGGAAGGGATCCCTGCCATCCCTCCTCTGCCAGCCCTGGGGGTGGCCAGGACAGAGGGCTCCCTCCTTCAAGGCGCCGGGGAGGAGAACGAAGCCGCCTCACGAGGCGGCATCTGCATTCTGTGCCACAGATGGTCGTGGCGGCTGGTGGTTAAGACGTGTTTGAACAGTTTGTTCTGAAGCTTAATGGGCTTTGGAGCACAAATTTGGAGGCTTCTCTCTGTGCCTCTGCAAGGGCGCTAAAAATAGAGCCCCCACCCAGGATCTCTGCGAGCAGCTCCCTGATCCTGTCGGCCGGGGACAGGAAAGCCCGCTGGGCCGTGGCCGAGGGGCTTCTGCCAGTCCGGAGCGTCTGTTTTCTCTGCCGCAGCTCCAAGGGTGGGGCGAGGCGGCCCTCGCGACCAAAGCAGCGTCAGGGTGTGAGTCTGGCCCTCAGCCGGGCCGGCACGGCCGCCTGGCAAGCAGCGCTTGCAGGTTGGCGGAAAGGGGATTCTTCGTGGCCTCTTTAGTCAGGTACCGGTTGGGGCCTGGCTCCCACCAGCATCTTTCCAGCCACCTTTGGTGCTCACCCAGCCCTTTAAGAGCCCCCCGCCCCCCCGCGGCAGAGGGCTGGCCTCTGAACC